ACTGTGGCTGGGCCACGGTATCCAACAGTGGCTGGGATGTGGGGTTTGCAGCTGGCTGTGCCATGAGGTTTGCCTGTGGCTGGTCTGTGGGGTTCGCCTGTGGCTGGGCCACAGGATCCAACCATGGCTGGGCTGTGGGGTTTGCAGCTGGCTGGGCCATGGGATTTGCAGCTGGCTGGGCCATGGGGTGCGCCTGTGGCTGGGTCTCAGCAGTTGGCTCTGGCAGAGTCTGCCCCGCAGAGGCTACCTGGGTTTGTAGCTCTGCCGGCGTGAAGCTGCCTGGCCGCTCCTCACAGAGTGCTGCTGCAAAGGAGGAGAGCATTGTGTGCACCAGGGCCCGGAGGTCAGCACTGGCCAGGAGGCAGAGGAAGGGACTGAGGCAGCTGTTGAGCAGGATCAGGTAGTCAGAGTAGACCAGTGCCTCCCAGAGCAGGTAGCCCGGGTAGATGTCCCACAGGAAGGCCAGGTACAGCAGCTGTGCCAGCTGGTAGGGCAGCCGTAGGACCACGTAGGCTGACAAGATGGTCTTGGCCACACGGGCAAAGCCACGGCAGGCTGTGGGCCTCGGCTGGCGGCGGCAGCAGGTCCTGCAGGTGGCGGCTTGGGTGAGCACGTGGCAGACGAGCAGCAGGAGGAAAGGCAGGAAGCTCCCCAGGATCTCCAGCATCCTCAGTGGCAGCTCTTCACTGTCCCAGAAGTCCAGGCAGATGACCAGGTCGTACCACCAGACAACGGCCTCGGGGAAGACTAGCCAGGGGACACTGAACAGTGTGGCCAGTACCCAGACCCCGGCGCAGATCCAGAGGGGCAGGCGGATTGGGCGGTGCCCAGGGTACCAGCGTGGGCAGAGTGCAAGCAGGCAGCGGTCCAGGCTGAGGGCTGCCAGCAGGAAGAGGCCAGAGGAGTAGGACACTGCCCACAGGAAGTAGTAGAAGCGGCAGGCTGCCGTCCCCAGCGGCCAGTGCCCTCCATGCTGGATCTCCATGATCTGGAAGGCTGCTGCCGCCAGGAACAAAAAGTCAGAGAGAGCCAGGCTGAGCAGGAGTAGAGCCAGCCGCGTGCCCGCTCCCTGCCGGGCCTGTGAGCCAGCCAACCATGCCATGAGCCCATTGGCTGGCAGCCCCAGGAGCAGCAGGGCCACCAGGAAGACCGTGTCCCAGACACCCTGGGGGTAGTAGTCCTCGTCGTCAAGCTCCGTGCGGGGTCTGAGGCCAGCGACACCCAGGTTGGCTTCCATAGCAGTGTCCATCTGAGGTCCCCAGTGTACCACTGCACATGGAGTGGGCACCTGGTGAATCAATGAAGGCACGAATGACTGGGTATGCGAGAGAGAGTGCTGTGCATCTTCAGGCAAGTTACTGTCCCTCTCTGCGCCCATCATCATTACCTTCTGGGTAGTTACCCTATGCCAGGGAATTTAACAGGTTACCTCACTTGGTCCTCATGCAATCCATTTTGCAGGTGGGGAGAGGACGGTGCAGAGGATCAGTGACTTGCCCAAGGTCGGAGGTAGGAAGGAAGGGCGCCAGGACTTGAACTCAGATCTGACCGTTCTGCCACAGGAAATCCCAGTATGCCCATGTAGGCTAAGTCAGATGCTTTTGAACATATTTTTAAAGCTTTATTCTTTAAATAAAATATTATAGTGGAACTCCTATGAACTAAAAGGGGGTGCTCAGATTAAAGGAAGGGAGAGTACCTCTAAGGCTCCAGGGAACACAGTTTGAAAGCCACTTGGTCAGATCATTGCAGGCCCCTTTTTGTCTGGTATCCTGAGGTTCAAGTGTTGAAGATTCCAACAAGGGAGGGCTCAGGTCCCATGGGCACAGGAATCCCCTGGTGGACAGGGAGTCTGGGGCTGAGGAGGCCCCTCCCTACAGCGAGTATAAGTCATGTCCTCAGGGTGAGGTCCACAGCTCAGGGACTGGGTGGCCTGGGGCCAGCAGAGCTATCCTGGGAGCAACTTGAGCCTTTTCATCATCCTCCAACCCCACTGCGGCCCTCTCCCCATTCTCACAACTCATGGAGAAGGTGGCCCCCATTTGTCCTCTGGGGCTACTAACGGAGAAGGGGGCTCAGTAGTGTGATGAGAATGAGTGTGGCTGCTAGGCCCCCGCCCCCATCCNCTCCTCTTGGTGGCGCCTTCAGGAGTCGCCAGAAGTGGGTGTCGACCCGCTCTCCCAATCCCCCACCCCAGTGCATACTTGAGGGTTCCCCAGTCCACCCCTGGCTCCAAAATATATTAACTACTCGGACAGTTCACGTATGAATACGCTTCTTTTTAAGTTACAAAAGTACACACTCTTGGTTAACAAGGTAAACAAAACAGTGATGTTTTAAGGAGAGAGTGGAAGGCCCCCAGCCAACCTATTCTTCCCTGTGAACGCTCCTGGGTCCTGCTGGGCCTCCTTCTTATTAAAAATAGAAACGGGGCCATGACCCCTGGATCCCTCACACCTCCCTGTCTTTCCTCGGTCTATCATCTCCCATGGAGACAGGGAGGTCAGTCCACAGACCTCTCCCTCCCTCTCGCCAGCTCCTGTGACAAGAAAGGCTTAGGTGTCCCTGTAGGTCTCACAGGCAGAACCTGCCCCTTCCACCTGGGGCTGGTGTCCCTGGGGCACTGGCCACCTCCCTCATTCCTTCTCTGAGCATCTGCTGCCCCGAGTGACCAAGGGGTTATGGGCAAGGTCCCTTTCTCAGAAGGAGAGAGGTGCAAGGGGACTAGGGGGAGAGAGCAGAAGTCAAAAGGAGCCTTTCTTGGGCTGCACGAAGTCCCCGGTGTATCCCAGGTGGGCTTGGGCGTGTGCCTCCCTCATTCCCCTCACCACGCCCTGTTGAGGAAACAGCTCGGAGGAGGAGCGGTGCCTGCCTCAGGTCACCCTTCCAGGACTCAGTCCCCGTTTGTTTGGCTCCAGAGTCCTTGCTTTTCCCACTGCCCTATAAACCCTGGGGCAGGCTGATCCCTGGACAGGAATGTGGGTGGGAAGGCAGCCACAAAACCTCCCTCTCAATGTGTCTAAAGCCCAAACCAGATGCCCTATTCTAGATCCCCCCTTTGCTCCTCGAGGCCACACTTGAAATAACATCCACAGTTACGGCGCACCGCCACCCACCACCTGTCTCACCCCTGCCTGCTCTCCCTCCTTACCAAACTACTGTCCTATCCTTGCATGTGGTCTAGTGACACTGACCCTGCTGTCCCTGAAACATGCCACCTTCCTTCCTACCTCAGGGCCTTGGCATATCCTGTCTGGGCCATCTGGAAACTCTTCCCCCAGATCTTGACAAGGTTCCATCCCTCACTTCCTCCAGGTCTCTGTTCAAATGTCACCTCCTCTGAGGACACTTCCTGACACCCCCCCCCCATCACTCTGGTCCTTACCTGGTCCCCCTGCATAGTTGTCAATCACCACCTAGTGTTACCTTATGTAATTATTTGTGTATTTGCATTTTGTCTGCCTCGCCCCCCCAGGATATCAGCAAACTGAGGACAGCAGCACTTTATCATTTCCCACCGGATCCCAGCATCTAGAACAAGAAGACCTAGCACACAGTGTGTACTCAAGTAATGTACGTTGAGTGAATGAACGAACAGCGGCCCCAAATGTTGAATTGGAAAACATTCTTGTTCACAACTCTCAGCATCAATGTCTGGTCCCCATGAGGGAGAGGGAGGGGTGTCTCTCACTTGGGGAAGGCTCCAGAAGGCAACAGGAGCCCAGCCCCATGGGGTGTCCTAGGGGTGAGGTGGAGGGGCTGTGGAATGTCAGGGTGAGCCCTCCCTCATGCCCTCTGGCCCTGGGTGTGCATGCTGAATCCAACACAAAGCCCTCTTCTGTGGGTCACCAGGAGAACTCATCTTTATCCCTCAAAACCCTTCATGGCACTGCTCTTTCTCCTGGATAGCCGTCACCCATGATGGGTGGGATTCCCCTTGGGGACCTGGGAGGTAGGGCTGGCCCCCTCTCCAAGCGGCGGGGTTTGGAGTATGGACCAGAGTTGAAGGCAAGTGTCTGGCACTAAGGTTTTAGTCCCTGATCTGCCTGCCATGTTGAAAGGCTTTGGGACCCTTTGAAAAGGCTAGGAGAAGGGAGAGGGGCACTGCAGAGTGCCCCAAGGGGGCCATAAATCCAGACCTTGTTCTCAGGGCGTGTGCACTGCAGTGAGGTGGGGGAGTGTGAGAGCGTTTCTTGTGGAGGAGGCGGCAGTGTGGTGAAGGGGACAATGCCTGGCGGGCAGGATGCTGCCACAGGAGCTCCGGCCGATGGGTCAGTGCTGGCCCTAGGCCTGGATGAGGCCCGGGTGTGCCCACTGGTATAAACAAATTAATGGCCAACAATTATTAAGCACTTACTCTGTGCCAGGCAAGGATCTAAGCGTTTCGTAGGGATTAACCCTCCCAGGAAACGGGAGGCATTATGATCCCCAATTTACAGGTGAGGAAACTGAGTCCCCAAAGAGACCAAGAGCCTGGCCAAAGATCATACAGCTGCTGAGTAGTGGAGCCAGAATTCAGACAACCCCTGAGGGGCACCAGGGGCCACGTCCCTAAACCCACCCACGCGTCTCCGAAATGGGAGGCCGTCTGGAAAGTCACCTAGCAAGTACTCAGTACATACTTGCTGAATGAATGAGTTCAACCAGTTTGTGCCTGTCCAGAAATCTCTCCCCCACCAGCTCCAGTGCCCACAATTCCATCCCTAGGAAATGCCATGATTATGCTGCTAGTATTACTACCATCCAGCGTGCTTCAGTCCCCGGGCACAGTAAATAATCACAAAAGCCAACCTTGCAAGGAGAATGTTATCACCCCGTTTTACAGAGGCGAAAACCAAGGCAAAGGGGGAGCTGGGAACCAGAAACCAGATCTGATTGCAAGTCACTCCAGACTGCACAGCCTGCTCCCTTTTTGAAACGCAAGCACCCCTGGGAAGAGTAAAGGTCACAACGCTGAGCTAATGGAAAAGAATGGGGCAGGGGTGAAAAGGGGAAAGAGGACATAGTTTTGGAACACTGGGGGTTGAGAGAAAGCTGGGAGGGGTGGGTGTCAGAGAGAGTGTTGGGTGTGAAAGGGAAGTGGGGTAGGGTCAGAAAATAGATCTTCAGCACTTCCTAGTTTTTCTTGCAGAGTCTGTAGCTTGAGAGGAAGAAGTTGGCTCTGCGCCAGAGATCCTGTGTGACCTCCAGGGACGTGTGTCCTTTCTGGGTCCCCTGGTCCCCAAAGCTCTCTGCTTAGACATGCTCTTATCTCTGCCCCTGAGCTGAATGCATAGGAAGGTCTCGGATGGAGACAGGCCCAGGGCACTCTGTACCTGCAGCTCACATCCTGGTGGTCAGGGGGCAGGTGGATACTAGTTGAACCCTTAAATGGAGCAGACCTTGAAGTCCTCTGGAGCCGCCCAAGTCACAGAGGTGGACCCATGCTCTCTGAGGCCACCTGGGTGTCTGCAGCCCAGAACTGGTCTTGGGCACAGCTGGTCTGCCCTGAAGTTCACAGGGTCCCAGATGCTCAGGCCAGGTGATGCCTCCTTCCATCCATCCCCAGCCCCTGCAGGGACAGCTCTGAATGCCAATGAAGGAAGAACATCTGCTCACTGTGCCCCTACTGTGTGCCACAGGCTCTTGCTAGGTGCCTCACACCCTTTCTCATTTAATCCTCACAATGGCAGATGAACTAGGAGCTCAGGGGTGATGCAGCTTGTTCAGGGTCACCCAGAGCTGTATTTGAATCCAGGCTTGGTAGCTCTTGCCTCTGCTCTTGCAGCCTGGCCGAAGGAAGTCCTGCCCCAGCCTCACAGCTTGTGGGCTCCTAGGGCCCCGGGCTCCTGCTGGCTCTTGAACGCCTCCTTCCGCTGCAGGGAGTTCCTCCTTGGGCCTCCTCATGTTCAGGTTAGAGAATGGGACAGGGAAGAAGTGAGGGACGGAAGGATGGATGGGGGCCTGATCAAGCCTGAGGAAGTCCCCTGCTGTCTCTCTCCTGCAGGACCGAGGCTAAGGGGAAAACTGTCAGTGGAGCTGGGAGTGTTAGAGCACAGAGCCCAGGATGCCATCAGCTGTGACAGGTCAGGGAGCTGTTGGGCCACTGTGTGATGGGGGCAAGCATGAAAGAGCTTGGTGGGACCCGGAAAGGGACGTGAGGCTCACAACAAACTGTCTGGGACTTTTGGCCACTTCATTCTCACTTCCCCAAGTCCTCCTGCCAGGCCCGAGGGACTTGGTGGGGTTTTCCATGATGACTTCCTTCACAGTGCCTATCTTCTCTAACTGGCTGGTTCTTCCGTCTCCCTTTGGCTCCACCGCTGCCCTGGCGGGCCTTCCTGCCCTGGGCTTTCCTGGACCCTCACGTGAGGCCGGCACCGGGAGCCTCCTCTGAGGGGGCACTGCCGGGGCTTTCTCCCTCAGAGGCAGCAGGCGTGGCTGGGTTCTCAGGGACTTCTGGGGTGGGATCTGTGGATGGAGCAGAGGAGGCTTCATCACAGGGGCTGGGGACAGAGCTGGCAGCAGGTCCACGGGTCTGGGCCTCAGGGCTCCCCTGTGACTGGGCCACAGAGTCCAACTGTGGCTGGGCCTCAGGGCTC